TTAGGGTGTGTAAGGCAAAAGGATTAAAGATGAACTCGATATGCAAGCGGTCAAAATCATTTTCTGTAAATTCAAAATTAACTCAACACTACAATTTGATCTTATGATGATATTAATTTAATTCATTCAGTTTTAATTTGTTTGGGAGTACAAAGCAAAGGACTAAAGATGAACTTGATATACAAGTGGTCAAAATCATTTTTTTATAAATTCAAAATTAACTCAACACTACAATTTGATCTTATGATGATATTAATTTGATTCTCGAATGATGAATTGAAATATTGTGGAAGTGGTATGATTTGTATGTAACCTAGAGATTCTTGAAATGGCATGCAAAAATCTAGAGTTCTTCTATGACATCAAACACAATAACCTTCTCAAATTGATGATGAGATGATCAAGAAAAAGAAATAACTGTTAATTGATCAATAAAACCCTAATTATATTTTCTTGCATTCAGTCCTTCTTTCCATTGGTTTTTTCCGCCATCTTTTGCTTGCTGTTCTGTACTTTTAAAATCTAAATTCCAACTATAAGAATGAGATGATTCATTGTTTATTATCAAAAGAGAGTAACAGTACCTGTAGTTGATCTTCATCTAATTCTTTGATTGGTGTGGCTAACCATGGTATTTTGCAAGTTCTTGAATTCTACTTTGGCTAACCTTTTATATAGGAAAATGTAGAGATGTAGTGGAGATTGATGATTTTTGGCTTCTCTTAGGACTAAGAGCTGGAGGGTATTGGAAGGAGAGAGGAAGAGGGTGATGCGTTTTGGAAGTAAAGGTAACAAGTAGAAAACGGTGGGAGTTTGAAAATAGGGGCTCATTTTGAGTAATACTTCAACAATAATGAAATGTACAATTGATCTACCATTTGAGAGGTAGATCGGCTCTCCCAGAAACTCGAGATGCTATTAGGAAATTCTCCAAGAGAAAAGCTACAACAAAAAATAACTTGCATAAACTCAAAATACAATATAATTAGTCTTAGATAGGCTCCCATAATTCCCTCCAAAATCAGCCTACTTTCCCCAAATGATTCCCTCTAATTTGAATTCAATTTGGAATCTTTTTCCTAACTAATTCTCTTCTAATTTTAATAAAAATCTTCCAAAATATCTCTTATTCTATTTCTCCTCCTTCCATATTGAATTAAAACTCTCCTGGGCCCCACAAGAGGGGCCAAAATCCCCTCCCCGTTCCCGCCCAAGTTTTCTGGGCTCAGTTCTTCTGAATTGTGCGGATGCCTTCTGCCCGTAGAGGATGACGTCATAACAATACTCGCCCCCAAAAGACGCACCTTATTCTCAAGGTGATAGGATGTGAATTGTCTCCTGATCGTCTCGTATGGCTCCCATGTAGCATCGTGCTCCGGCAAATCCTTCCACTTGATTAGCACCTCCTGTTCCCCTATCTCTTCTCCGTGCATACCCACAACTTCTAGGGGTTTCAAAATGACCTTCATGTCTTCTATAAAAGTCAGGGGTAGTGAAGATGGTGTGTGCTCTCCTATCGCCTTCCTCAGCTATGAGACATAAAATACTTGATGCAATACTGATGATGGTGGTAGCCTTAATTGATAGGCCACTACTCCAATGAATTTCAAAATCTCATAAGACTCAAAGTATCGTTGGGTTAATTTCTCATTCCTCCTGGCTAATGTCTTCTGCCTGTAGCGTCTCAGTTTTAAGTGAACTGTATCTCCTTGCTCGAAATGCACTTCTCTCGTGTCCTCATCAACATTCCTTTACATGATTTGCAACAGGTGTCCCTTGAGCTCAGATAATATCATGCCCCTCTCCTCTAAGTACTGATTACATTGGATGCCGCTATAATGCTATGTCCATAATAAATGAAATGAGGTGAATCTCTCCCATAGAGAATCCTAAAAGGGGGTGTCTGTGCTGTCGAATGGTACAAGGTTTTGTAAGCAATCCACTTTGCCCTACTCTTAAGCGTATCTAATATAAAGCATCTCAAATAGGTCTCTACACTTTTGTTGACTATTTTTGTCTGGCCATTTTTCTGGGGATGGTATGTTGTACTTCTCTTCAGGATTGTCCCCTGTAAACAAAACAACTCCTTTAAGAAGTGGCTAAGGAATACCTTGTCTCTATTTAACACAATGGATTTTGGGAATCCATGCAAGTGCATCACCTCTCGTATGAAAGCAACAGCCATAGAGACCGTGGTGTAGGGGTGCTTCAGAAGGATGAAGTGTGTGTATTTACTTAGACGATCCACTATTACCAGTATCACCGAAAATCCCTCCTAACATGGCAGCCCCTCGATGAAATCCATCTTCACCTCCTTCCACGCCCTCTTCAGTAGTGCTAGAGGCTATAGTAACCATGCTGGTGTCATGGCTAAGTACTTATACTTCTGGCACACATCACGTCTTGCTATCAGTCCTTTACATCACGGCGCATCCTTGCCCAGTATAATTTCTCTGTTTTTGGTTGCTGTTTTCTATCAGTTGATTCTCTCCTCTCCTGTGACTTAGATAAATATTTATTGCAACATGCAAATCTTGATATTTTTTTCTGCATGTGCTTGACATCTTTTGTGATTGTTTGTAGTTCATCATATTTGCTCTTCATAATGCTGCCATATAAAACTTAAAACAATTTTCCTAACAATGAAGGCTCTACCAAGCCCTCTTAGGACAACAACAGTATCAAACCTTTATCCCACTATGTGGGGTTAGCAAACCTCAAACCTCTCAGGGTATAGTTCATGATTAGTCCATACAAAACATGTAAAATGACATAGATGACCTCACAATAAGTAAACACAATAGCTACAGGATGATCCAACCTAAATCAGGCATTTTAGGACTGACTACTGATGGAATCAAAGTCCAGAGGTCATGTGTTCCAAGAAGGAAACCACTAAAGGCATGTTTTGCAGTCTGTGAATGCACACATCCACAGCTTCTGCGGTACTCTTTCTTCCTTACCACGGTCGGTGCAACAAATAGCCATTTTCTTGGATGGTCTATTATGGCATCACATTATTACCCTGAGATTATGTTTTCAAACTAAGATGACTTAAGGCATGGCTAGGCCTTCCGTTTACAGTTCCATGGATCTATGCATGCACAGTTTTTTAATTGCTCTGAAATAGTTAATTTTTTATTTCGGATTCACCGGTTTAGCTGTTCTTATTTCTCCTATATACGCTTTTGTATTTGTTAAAATTATGTGGTGAGATAGCGCCCTATAGAGCTCTTGCTGAAATAATGTTAATTAACAATTTGCAGGCACTGAAAATAATAAGCTTATGCGGATGGGAACCTCGCTTGCTTCCATATACTATTGAATTTGAGGACAAGTCTGGTACATCTGCCAAAATTACCACTTCACTTGTGTCTTCAGAAGAGATACCCTGTGAAGCAACACAAAATATCACACACTGCTTATCAAACAGTCACAATGATGTTGGAGAGAGGAAGGACAGTTACACTCCGCTTGGTGAATTCCTATATGATCAATCATCTACTGTCTTAGATTGTAAGTTTTGTGGTGCTTGTGTGGGATTGTGGTTTTTCAAGGCAATACCTCGTCCTTTGGAATTCTTCAAGGTAGTTATAGATAGTAGTCCTCCAAGTGCGCTAGCTACTGGAACTGCAGATTTAGCTCACGATGTAGAAGTCCCAAGAGTTGAGAATTGTGGCAGAGGAGATCACAATTCTATTATGGAAAAACCATTTGGCTTACATCTAACAATTGCAGGCGGGCCTCCACCAACCAAACAACATTTTCGACCAAAAATATCTCTTCCTGCTGTCAGTAGGCATATAAGAGCTGAATTGTCATATAATTCTTATTTAAGAAATCATCAAAGTTCATCAGGGAAGGAAGCCATTGCTTGCCAAGAAAAGGGATTTAATGGCCATCATGATGCTGGATCACAAGCTGTTGGATCCTTGAAGCGAAAAAGAAGTGAAATTGAAAATTCTAATTCCCAGCTGCATTTGGAAGGAAATCATGATGATATGGGCAATGGTCTTGCACATGAAGTGGGGAGTGAACTTACTTCTAAAGAAACCCCTTATAACACCCCATGTACTGATGTAATTGTCAGGGATGCTGTAGCCAATCAGATTGTTTCTGTGTCAAAGCCAATTGATACCAGTGAATCAAATGATTTTGTTTCAAGATTAGATGAATCTAACTGTGGTGATACACCAGAAAATGATCATTGTGATCCTTCAGTTCCTGCATTTTCTTCAATTATTAAAATGAATTCATCCACCTGCTCTAAAGCAGGTGATAAAGGTCTTTGTTTCCAAACAACTGACGGAACAAGTGTAGGCAAACAAGACTCAATAGAATTTGCAAAGAAAGGATCTGTTTCCATTACTCGGGAGGAAGATGTTGATCATGTATTAGGTAAGAATTTTCTTTAGTACATATTATACTAAGAATAATATGATTTTTTTGGTGAATGAGCATCTTGCCTGTTGTGACTCTTGAATGAATACCAATTGTATTTTTAAGTCGTTATCTTTGCATTGAAAATGCCTTCATTATGGTTCTCCAAAGACTAGCTTGCTCTGTAATTTCTAGGTGACATGTCGACTGTGTTAGACATGCTGATCAAGCATGAACACTAAAGATCATGGCTGAGCCATCTTTTGGGGAATGATATTCTTGTAAAATGTGATAAATTTCCTTAATTTTAATAAATTAAAATGGTTAATACATTCTGTGATGCAATGCAAGCAGTAGAATGCTGGTTGACTGGGTTTATTAGGGATAGATGAAGGTGAAATTAGAGTGAAAGAGAAACAAACAGAAAAAAACAGAACAATTCGTCAAACTGGTCACGCTGAATCCTAAAAGCAACATGTCATCAAATCCTCAAGTGTTGAATCCTTAATGCAAAGAAGGAGATGCGGCCCCTCACCCATCATGGGGCTAAAATCCTTACTCACCCAAGAATCAAAATGCTTTA